TCCTATTTTATAATCCATAGATGTCTAAACAGACTTCCGTGTAACGTCCGCATACGCTCTGGTATAACCACAGCTACTTAATTAGACTATGTTTCGGTCCGAATTGAATGAGACAAGTAAACAAAATTTAAATTAATGTTATATGCTCATAAAAATACCATAAGTAACCTTATAATTCAATAAAGATGTATCTTGTAATTTTGTTTCACAGATGTTTTTTTAAGTTAACCTCAATATAAACATTTGCATTATTAAATTTAAAATTAAAAGCACCATTTCATAGCACCCTTCAAGATTTGCATAATAATGACCAGCCTAAATTTTCAAATAACTCGGCCGGTTCATTGTTTAGATTCAATTAAGTTTGATCCAAACATTAGCCAAAATGTTTGTAATAACTTTCAAAATTTGTTAAAAGATTTTTTTCTGCTATACAATTTTCCAGAAGGTTATAAAATTACATCAATATGCACGACAAAGTTTAATATTTTTTTATTTTTTTTTATAGGTAGGTCCGACAAATGACTCCACCCCACCTGATGTTAAGTGAAGATTGAGTCCAGACGCGAAGATAACTGACACAGCAGTTCTATAATAAATATCGCTAAGGAAAATTTCCCTGTGGCTATGAAAATCCCTTCCCTCATTGAAGTTTCTTCGGAGAATATATTAATATCCATTATAATCGGCCCCAAACGTGAAATTGGTAACGTTTGTCTTGTCAATACATCTTGATATGTCTTGTACATAAGGTTTCCTTACTAGGAATTTAATGGAAATACTCATGTCTGAAAGTTTTTGGAGAAAATCTGCGATATGTAACTAAGGTACTTCAATTATGTTACTTATAAATTATTTATGTATTTGTCATAAAATCTGCATACAGAATTTCTTTCTTATTGTCACCTGGGAGCCGAAATTGGCTACGAGCCAATTGCTGAATACATTTCAGGGTTGCCATTTTCGTAAATGGCATAGTAATTTTGTTTTATATGTCGTATTTATTGTGCTGTTATTTTAAGCATTAAACTACTAGATTTATAAGTCTGATGCATAAAAAAAATACCTATACCTAGGATATAGGTTCTTTTTTATTTATTACAAACCTTGTAGTACCAAATTGACATAATCAAAAATAATTACAAATGGATTCTCGAATTAAACTATTTTCAATGCCTATGAATAAGTAATAAGGTGTTTCCACGGCGTAGGGGAGAATGGGAGGGTAGGCATCGCGTGAGAAAACCGTTTGTCTGCTGTTGCTCTTACGCTCGTAATTTGGCATAAAAACGTTCACCACAAATCAAAAGTGATTCGGACAAAATTTCGACACCTAAGTACCTAATGCTGGTGAGAAGAAAAATGTTTTCTGTTCATAGGATAAGCTTACGCCTCAGTAGTGACAAATTTAATAAATTGATGAAGCCAATCATCATCATCAGCCTATTAATGTCCCCACTGCTGGGGCACTGGCCTTCCCTATGGATGGAATAGGGGGATTGGGCCATGATCCACCACGCGGGCCCAGTGCGGATTGGTGGGTGTTAACGACTGCAGATGCAGCCGGGACCAACGGCTTAACGTACCTTCCGAAGCACGGAGAAGCTCAAGATAGTAAATCTTTGGTTACCCATCCAATGACCGACCACTGCGAAAGTTGCTTAAATTCAACGATCGCAGCCGAACGCGCTAACCACTTGCGCCATCGAGCTCCTCAGTATAAAGACAATAGTCTTGGGCAAAGTAGTTCGCAACTGAGTTCGCTCAGTTTAGGTCGCCACCCCTAAACGAACTAGTTCGCTCTTCCAGTTCGTCAGCTCCTAGCTCGAATCAGTGAAAGGCAGATCATTCGCTCGTTTTGATACTACGCTGGCTCCAGCAACATGTGATAAGTTTATAGAATGCTATACTTTTACCTAAAAAATTTGTACTCAGAAAAGAGCAAAATCTTCCCAATCAATATGACTACTGATTATAATAGCTTATTATAATTTTACTTATATGTACTTGATGAGTTTCCTAACTACATACTTTCGATTAATGCCACTCTCCCTCATTCGGTCACGAACTAATGAACTATGTAACGAGGATTGAGGAAACTAGTTCGAGTGTTTACCTGTGGGAGCGCTCTTACGACCTAGTTCGTTCGCGAACTACACAAGACTAGAAGACAATGATGACGAATACCAAAAACTTTCGGTCAAATATTATTATTCGGAAATTAGGTAGGTATAAAGAAGCAAAAGAAGTGTCAGCTAAGGATGCGAACAAGTGATACAACTATTGTGTAACCCCTCTGGAAAAACTCTATATACGTTTAATTCAGAACTATTTGCCAAAATATCTCTTAAACTGCTTATTTGAAATAAATAAATATGCCTTTCATACGTACTAATAAATTTCTATTTAATATTTGCTACATTTGCCTATGTCAATATCGAAACTGAACTGAACTGAGAACGAACTGCTCAAGCAGTTATCTTCAAAGGGTGTAAACCGCCGCCACCGACTCAAGGTCAAACTTTTCTTAAAGCCACATATAAAACCAAATAAACTTTTCCTATTCATTTTATGGATGTAAAACAATATCCATATTCGATGTAATATGAATATTGCCAAATGTCATCTCAACCTATATCCGATAAAGTACTTATATTATTAACTAGCTGACCCAGTGAACTACGTACCGCCACAAAAACAGGGGCTGGTGGTAGAAAGGTGAAAATTTAGGGTTGTATATATTTTTAATGCCACTATATAAAAAAATTAAAGAAAACAATTTCGTCAAAAAAAATGTTAGGGGTGGACAACTTTTATCACTTAGGGGTATGAAAAATAGATAGTAGCCGATTCTCAGACCTACTGAATATAGGTACATATAAAATTTCATAAAAATCGGTCAAGCCGTTTCGGAGGAGTATGGTAACTAACATTGTGACACGAGAATTTAATATATAAGATAATTACTCAACTAAATATGTCGTAAATATTTATTCATTTCTGCCAGTCATTTGGGCTTAGTCATTATGGTGCTTTTGTAGATGTATTTAGTTTAAAAATAACTTAAGTTTAATTTACTTAATGCATTATTATGAAAAGTAAATTTGTAATTCAAAAAGAGGTCAATATTTTAACTCTCGATGAAATAAAACAAGATTAAAAAAACACAGCCCTCGTTAATTCTTGCCGTTTGTTCTCTGTACAAGTTCTGCCGCCGTAGATTTACGAACCGATGACGTAGCTTTATGACTTTAACAAGTGATTATTAACAGCAAGCTCTAAATGAGCACTTGAAATGAAAAATCGAAAAGATTTTTCATTTTCATTGACAAAGGCCGGACAAGCGCGAGTCCGACTTGCCCACCGAGGGTTCCGTACAAATTTGTAATTAACACACATCCGTAAAACATAATTCTTTAAGTTTCCGTATTTTTTTTTTAAGTTAACTTACAAGTGTATTTTTTTACGGCTTCAAGGGAATGCATTCATGAGTATATGGTTTAAATTTCAAGTCCATACCTTAACGCGTTCCCGAGATAAAGGGTGTTAGTGATGTACAATACATCTCACCCTTTAACAGATGGACAAGTCCTTTCGAGGTACGGAACCCTAAAAAAAGATAGTTTTAACCACAACACGAATTTCTATTCTTTCACAGCTATAAAGACAGATAATAAGTAATAAGTTGTCCAGTTTTATTACATTGCGAAATGACATCAAGACTATGTCATCTCATAAAACCGAGGCAATATCTACAGAATTCTTACCGAAACACTAGAATGTAATAACGCTGTTTTTACATGTTTAGTTATCTTATTATGTATAAGGAATTTACAAAAACTAGTCATTGGTAATTAAAAAGCTATTAGCTTATATTTCTTAATAAACTATGTGTACCTCCGAACTGTGTACATACTATTTAAGTAATATGTATGGACACAAAGATATTGCTACAATCAATGTCATTATGTATCAAGTGTAGAACTTCCCAAATTCTACTACAGGCATATACAGGATTGAATATTGAATTCAGGAAACGCGCTCATTTTTGACGAAATAGTATTTCAGATGGGACGATTTACTACTGTATAAAAAATTACGGCCACAAATCAAAAAGAATCTCACACCTACACGACGTCCACATCGCCACATGTCAAGAATCTATAAAATATCATAGATTTATCGCCAAATGCCATTCCGTTCGCAGAATCTACTCCGCAAATCTAATAATATTTCTAAATGAAATGTCATTTTCTGATTTGAAATATATACAGATGTGTTCGTAAGGTTATTTTTATGAGTCTCTTTTTATAAATCTTCTCTGTTACTGGTGAATAAATTCTTCACTCAATAAACATCCGAGTATACAAATAAATGTTTCCTTGTTGTAATTATAGGTAAACTAAACTAAACTACATATCTGGCTGTGAAAATTTTTAATCAATTCTAGTAACTGAAGAATATGATTAAACTAGCTTCAGCCCGCGGCTTCGTCCGCGCTATAGTTAGTTTTTTGAGAATCCCACAGAAGCCAAATATTTTCCGGGGTTGTTGAAAAGTTGAAATGTGCCAATCCAATCTAATAAACTATCTTTTTACCAAATTTTATCCAATTCCATTTACCTGTTTAAGTGTGGAAAAAGCAACGATATTTACTACCGTTGGGAAAAAGTAACAAAGACCCATACAAACTTTTTACTTTTCTTTCTAATTTAAAATAGCTATTATCTGTTTAATTTTTACTTTACAAGACAGTGTTAGTAAGATTTTTAGATCCGTAATAGATAGGAAGCACAGATTTATTTTTATCGACCCGAAACTTTAAATAATCATATTTTTATTTGTGCACAAGAAAAAGTGCCGTATCCTATGAAAGGGCACTACTTGCATCGCTGTGATGCTCGATGAGACGAGACAAGTAACACTTCGCTTCCGAAACCGTCGCGAGCGGTTGTGTTTCAGGCACCGCCTATTAGGACATAACATGACACAAACAAAACATGACGAAAACATTACATATCACTTTAATAATTCTCTCGACAATAGTACAGTGTTTCAATGTGAATACTTTGTCTATAAAATATAACAAGTTATCAAGTAAAGTGTTTGATACAAACAATAGTGAACAATTAGTGCTGTTAAAACCGTTCCAATATTATAATTGTTTTATGTGGCATCGCACGGACAATTTAGTTCAATGGAAAAGGCGCCGAAGAAACTACATTCCCGCAATAAAGTTGGCGGTGATGCGACATAGATTAAGAGAGAAGAGGAATGCTATTAGTGATATAGAAGAACGTACTGGCAGGCGTGAGAGGACAGGTTCTATTTTAAGAGTGAGCCCATCGGCAGTTCCTATGTCTCTGGTAGCAAGATTCAAGCTGCAGTGGCCAGTGAAGTTGTGGAAAGAGTACGGTCTTTATACGGATGATTACCTTACATTGATTAACTCGCATTGGCTGCGTTTCCCACCACCCGACCCTGGAGTGAACTATCTGCTGGGGGGGCTCTACGTGGTGATGATGGTCGTAGGATGCTCGGGGAATACCCTAGTTCTCTATATGTATATCAAGTTAGTATTTTGTCTGTGATATAATATTTTCTTAAACTTTAACCTACCTACAACGATATCCTACCTACTGTTGCTTTACATGAAAAACAGGAATTTAACTTCTTAATAATGTTTAAGATAAGCCTAAGTAATTGCGTGCGTGCTCTTGGGTAACCATCGTCATTCATTAGGCTATAAATTCAGTTTAAACGGGCCCGTAAGTTTAACATCAGCATCATCCTATTAATGTCCCCACTGATGTGGCACATGCCTTCCCTATGAATGGAATAAGGAGATTGAGCGATAACCCTCGAACCTCGCACGGAGAAGCTCGAGATAATAGTTTTTGGTCACCGATTCAATGGCCGAATATTGCGAAAGTTGCTTAACTTTACGATCGCAGGCAGATTTGCTAACCACCTGCGCTCTCGAGCTCCTCCCCAAGTTTTACATAATACAATACAATAAAACAAATGGAGATTTATTTTCAATGACAACAATGTGTTTGTACTTTGTTTGTGTTGAAAAAACAACTCTGATGTATCAAAGATCGTGGGTTTCATTCTTAGTACCTAATGTGTTGACTGATGACAAACACCAAATATCATTTCAGTTTAATGTAATGTAATATTTGTCCCATTACGGAGTACCTATATAATTCCTGTGAGTAGTTACAGCATTCATTCATATTCAAAATACTTTATTTGCATATATGAGGGTGTTTAGACAAAACAGTGATCTCGTAGACATTTTATATTTGCACACCTTATACACTATAGTGGCGGAAAGCTATGATGGCTGTTTTGACGTTTCGAAATTAGTTCTAAATTTCAAAGAAGAGTGTTTTTATGATGTTAGTGCACTAAGTTGGTTATTACAAACGAGTAGACGAATGTAAGCCCGAGGCGAAGTCGAAGGCTTACCATGGTCACGAGTTTGTAAATACCAATTCCGCACGAATGTCGTACAACGTTTTTCAACACATTTGCGAGAAAAAGTACACTTAGTATACTTAGTTTTTGGTAATGTAGCAAACTTTTTCTAATGAGAAATAGGCGCGCATTTCCAAATGGCGCCACGTTCGGGTGGTGAAAATTAGAACTAATTTTTTCGTCTCTTTTTCTTTTTAGTATTAAAGTAAAACATAGGTATGAATAAAAGCGTTTCCAAGGAAGTTCGACCGAAATTAAAAAAAAACGTAACGATGCTTTGCACGATGCTATGTATGGGAGCGTGCGGTAATAGGGCATATTATTAAAATCTAATACAACAAATATTATTCCTTGATGATTATATTAGATTTTTTTTCGGTTAGGCAGTATTTGTCGAACAATAAAGCCGACCGGAAGTAATTACTGTTCATGTTGGACCGAACAATTATTTACATAATATTGAATTTACCGCCCGGCTGTGCCGATTAAGCCAGCTCGCTTATGTGTGTAGCTAGCTACCCTTATCAATTGACTTTTCACGTCACTATTGTAATGTGTCAAAACGGCCATCATAAAAATGCGAAAATCAGCGTAATACAGCTAAGAATACTACGATGTAAGAACTGTGATATTATTTAAAAGCTAATAATAATAAAAACGTTTATTTGGTACAAATTACAAAAATAAGTTATAGTATTATATAAAGATTTTGTACCAAACAGGCCACTGCTCAGTATATATCGTCACATCACATCATGTGCCACGACACTGATTTTCAGCAGCAGCCTACTTAGCCTTAGACCAAGCGCTAATAGTTAAATTATAAAAAGATAATAATAGGTTAACAACAATAATAATTTTAATTAAATGTTATTTAAAGTCTTAAATATTTTTTTTTGAGAATAAAAGATATTAAATATAAATGTCACATTATTGAAATTAATTGGACTAATGTTGTGAAACAAAATGAAAGGCAAAGAAAATTAAAATTTAGAGTATCAAGTGGTGCTCAATATCAACCATGGCGTTCAAGCGAACCTCACTACAGCTTTTGCACATTCAATAAATATTTCCTGTATATATTTAACTTTTAAAGTACAAACCGTTTTCAAATCTGATAAAGTTTCTAGTCATCTGTCAAATATTGTTATCGATAACAACTAATTATTTATTGATTACATTGATAAATTACTGTAGGAGATACTACAAAAGACTACGCAAACTCGTTAACATAACAAAACTTCAAAGATAAAGTAAATACTTACGCCTGACAATTCACACAAATCATTGGATCTAAACAAAAGGATTCCCTGTTCTCTTTGTATTCATCAGTAATTTATTAAGGCCAAAACCGGCCAAAACATATAAGATTTAAAGGAATCTAAAGACGGACGTCGTACATGATGTTATTTTTTTTCTATGTAAGTAATACTAATATTAATAATATAATATTCCTTCTATTATTAAAAATATTTATATATTACGTCTATTTGAAAATAGCTAGTTTGTTCTAACCACTCTACTAACGTTTTGATCCCTAGGGACTAAAAGTGATTTGAATAAGGAATGTGGATATCGTTAGTAAAAGATCCAATTGCTTAAGTTAAGAGATCAATCACGAACATATTATGAACAAATCACAGGATATATTGTTTTAAACATTCATGGTCACTAACATTATAGTAATTTAAGTTATAATATTAACGGGATTGTTACCATGTATGTGAAACTCGCCAAAAATAAGGTACATGGTAACAATCCCGTAAATAACATAAATAATTATAAAATCACAGAATGTATAAAAGTAATCGAGCTCTTTTAAAAAAAAATGTGAAAAAAAAACGCGTTTAATACATTCCACCTTCGTTCATAATAGGGGTGTCGAGGGGTTAAAGTAAATGAAATTCTATTTAGTCCGTCATCGTCAGTTAGATGATGAAACGTATTTTCTCTTTGGTCAATCAAGCAACGAAATACAAAGATAAAGCGCGTCAAAGTTTGGGAGTGGGGGCTTGTGACGTCACTTTTAAGTAAAATTGTACCAAAACGTGACGTCCTGCGACATTTCAAATCAATATATCTCTGTGATGTTCTGATTATGTCAATAAAGAAAAAATACGTGTCGAATACTTTTCGATAATATACCTTAAAGACGAAAAAAAAAGTTAGTCGTCATCCCTATTGTTTACGCGAATTCGGATTTTAGTTGGTTTTATAAAAATATAGTGTCTTCCCCAAGTAGTGATAATATTTTACAATATTTTTATTTCATAGTGCGTTAGAAGTTAATAATATAAAACATTATACAAGAATAACTAAAATGGTTCAATTTCAGCCAATAAGCGACTCAAAAATCTCAACTGATATCAGCTGATTAGTGGGTACACAATGCATTGATTGCTCAAATCGTTTTTGTTGATTCAGGACTATTCATCTGCTCCGTGTAGTAGTGAATTCGATCATAAGTAATTATAAAAAAACTACTACGTTAATTATAATCCACAAAAAAACTGCATATTATAATTTCACACCAAAATTTCAGCAGGTATTTTATAAGAGAGAAAAATATTAATAAGGATTTAATCACAAAAAGAATTCAATCAACTTAATGCACGTACGGGGTATGGCAAACAATCCACCCCAGATTGATGATTGTTTTGAATCCAGCAAAACATCCCCCATGGGGCGTTAAGTTATGTAGGTCAAGCTTAATGTGCCCTGCTTCCGTGAAAACAATGACTGGTGACGATTCAACTCAATTGAAGATCTCACAAATTAAAAATAAAAAAGACACGCATGTGAAGGGTTCCATACCATTGTAGGTGCAATGTTTAACATTTGCGAAGCTGTATTTATTAAGGTCAAAGAAAAGTCATTTAGGGTAAAGAAAGGATTTTAGGGTTCCGTACCTCAAAAGGAAAAAACGGAATCCTTATAGGATCACTTTGTTGTCCGTCCGTCGGTCTGTCAAGACCGTTTTTCTCAGGAACGCGTGGAGGTCTGACATTAATATGTAATACTCAGGTCTACTGTCCCTTGGAGCTGTGAAAAAATCAAACAAACAAAAAATCTAAGCCAAAGCAATCAAACGATGCAGCCGTTGTGAAATTTTCGAAACTCGCACGGGAATCAAAACCCACAGGGTACTTCCCGTGAACTTAGAATCTTGAAATTTGGTACGAAGAAGTAACGTCTTATAGTACAGATAAAGGCAAAATTGCGAAACCGTAAATTTTTAGTTACATCTTATGATTTTTATTTTAATTATTATTAAAATATACCTACAGGTTTGTACGGAACCCTCGGTGCACGAGTCCGACTCGCACTTGGCTGGTTTTTATTTTATGTTAAAGGAGTGGCAAACAAGATTTTTTATGACCCGCCTGATGATAAGCGGCCACCATAACCTATAGATGCTTGCGATACCAAAAATATCACTCGTACCGTTGCTTACCCTGACCCAATCCCCTACCCCGAAGAAAACACCACCAATTTTACTGTAGTCTTCTGTAAGGTCACTTCCACAAACGGATGCGTTCAATTTTGAGTGGTATATCCTCTGTGCCCAACCTCTCTTATTTTAAAGAAAATATAATTAGAAAATTCCACGCGGACCAGGCAGCAGGCGGAACTCGAACCCGCACCACAAAAAGTTATATTTTCTTTAGATCAAGCAGTTACGTGTTTAAAAAAATAATAAAAAATATAACTCTCTCATTTTTTTTGGGTAATCATCAATAAAAGGCGACCACAAAATTCTATTACAAGTTTAGTATGTCTATCAAATAGCGAAATATTTTAATATTTTTCAAGTGACAAACCTTGTGTGATGACACAACTAAACTAAACTTTAATGTTCAAATTTCGATAACTTAACTTTAATTTTAAACTTTCGATAACTTAAATTGAATTTTAAACTTTCGATAACTAAACTTTAATTTTAAACGTTCGACCATATGAATGCTGAATTCAAATGAAAAGGGTTTTGTATCATGACACAATGTTTATCACTTGAAAAATATTGAAATGCTTCGATCAACAAATCTACTGATAACGGGTCAGCACGTAAAACTGTTTCGGTAAATATAG